CCGATTAAACGGAGCGTAATGGGGGGGGGGTTGGGGGTTGGGGGGGAATTATGTCAGCCAATTGGATCGATCGATCGGAATCCCAGACCTCGGGGAGACCGTCCAGGAGGTATCGGGTTCCTCGATTTACTCGCCCTTTCCCGAAATGGCAACGTGGGGGGGGGAGGGCGGCAAGGGGGGGGGCACGAAATCGAGAAATTCGAAAAGCCCGGTGTCGCGTTTAACCACCGTGCGAAGGATATCCCCCCGATCCCGGGTAATGGCACGAAATAAACTTTATTCTCCCCCCCCGGTGCCCCCTTACCCCCTTCGCTCTTTTGTTCCTCCTCTGCCCACGTTCCGCTCCTCGCGTTTCATCTCTCTCTCTCTCTCTCTTTCCATTGCCTTGTCTCTGTCTCTCCAGTTCCACCTACGTCGTGCCCTCTCTTTCTCCTCCTCCTCCCCCCAGGAGGAAATCCCCGACTTCTCCGGGGATCCTTCTCTCTCGCCTTTTCTCTCTCACCTTTCCGTTTCTCTCTTCCTCTCTCTCTCTCTCTCTCTTTACGATTCGGCTCGACCGAGCAAACCCATTTCGCGTCCTATCGAGCTAACTCTCTCTCTCTCTCTCTCTCTCCCCCTCTTCCGTGGATCCTCGCTTTCTCGGATCACTCTCTGGGGTGCCCGGGGGGGGGGGGGCATGACCCCCCCGGGCCAATGTCCTATCTCGATTGGAAGTATCGACACCAGCGTGTCCTTCCTGGACGTGTCCTGCCACGTGGTCGCCGGGGCGTCGTTTCCGCCCAAGGAGAAGAAATTTCTCCCTCCCTCCATCCCTCCCTCTCTCTCCCTTTCCGTCCGTCCGTCTCGGATCCCGCCGAGATAACCCGGGGGAGCCGCTTCGCGGTCCGGGTCTTCCCCGGGAAAACTGATTTTCCCGGGCCACGTCCGGATGTCCCGGACGTCGCGTTCCCGAGAATTTCCGGCAGGACTGAGGGCGCGATAAATTGAGGGAGGGTTTTATCCGGAAGTATCGAGGACTTGCTGATAAATGGGGGAGGGGGTGGGTGGGACGAGGAAAGGGGAGAGGAAGAGTTAAAGAGCCGGAAAATCGCAGGGAGGGAAACTCGCGGAAAGCGTTAGGTGGGCGGGAAATTTAGAGAGGTTTAATTTTCGGAAAAGCGGTGGATTCGCGAGAGGTGTGGCGAGGGGCAGAGGGGGGGACTGTTTCGGGAGATTTATCACCACGGCTCGGCTCGTTCGGGCTGGAACCCTGATAAGAGGACCCCTTTCTAAGATTTCCCTTTCTCCGACTCTGATCCTACAGATATTTCTTTTTTTTTTCTTCTTTCCCTCCTTTCTTTCCGCCACCCCTTGCCTTATCTTCGTAATTCCGCGGACGAGGAGCGCCACCCCCCACCCCCTTTTCCACCCACTTCCACCCACTTCCGCCCACTTTGCCTTTTACGGGGAAATTCGGAGCGGCGGTGATGAAAAAGTAGGGGTTAATAAATAAAGGAACTTATAAATAAAGGGGGGGGAGATGGACGCGCGCCTCCCCTGATGAATCATTGACTCCTGGGTAGTCCCTCGGGAATGGATCGGCGAAAGTCGGGAAATTGATCGAGGGGGCGAATTTCGAAGACCCCTTTTAGGGGTTCCGGTCGTCCGGGGGGAGGGAGGGGTGGAGTGGAAAAAATGGGGAAACTGGTAAAGGCGAGACGGATAGGAGCAACCCGAGGAATCCCTCGGGAATGAGTGGAAAGGCGATACTCATTCGGGCGGGGGGGCCGATGCGATTTTTCAATTTCGACAAGAATACGCGGAAAGCCGCCGGGAGGCTTTCCTTGGCGATTCTCCGCCGGGGGGAAAGTCTCGGGAAATGATCGCCCCTCGATTAATAAATTCCGCCCACTCGTGTCGGACCGCCCGGGCGGGCGCGACAGGCGCCGACACCTGTTAACGAGAATCCCTGTAAACGACAGCGGCGGAATGGCCGCGCCCGGACGGACGCGGCCCTCGGTTTACGGAAAACGCCGCGTTGTTCGGTCCCTCTCTCTTTCCCATTTCTTTTTTTTTTTATTTCCGCCACCTCGCGTTTCCATCCGCCCGCTTTCGGCCTTGCCGCGCCGTTGAGTCGTTCCTGGGGATTCCGCCGGGAGGGAGGCGCGGTTCTACCGCGCGGATGTTCCTGGGGCCTCCTCGATTTTTCCGCCAGTCCGGTCGCGGGATTTATTCCCCGATCGATAATCAATTTGCCGTCCGGGGTCGCGTTATCGGGGGACAATAATCGTCCGCGTCCGTCACCCGGGCGGAATTAGTATTGAAATTAGTCCCAGGAGAAGGCGGCGGGGTCGGGCTCGACAGGTTGATCAGGGAGTGACCCGGGTCCCGAGGGTTCTCCCAGGGACTCGGGATCTTCGAAATCGAGCCACCATTTGTCTGGATCACTCGATTTTTCCCCCCCGCTGTGACCCGCCCCTCGGGCGCGACTACTTGCGGAATTCCTCCGCAGTTTCCGGGCTTCCCGAGTTCGGCTCCCGAGGGAGGAAGTCTCCGGAGACGGGAAGTTAGACGTACGGTTAAGCAAGCGGATGATAAGAGGCGAGACGAGTGAATGGGGAGGACACCGGGGAGGGCTTTGATCGCCCCCGGAATTATTCCAGGACGTGTGCGGAGGAAACGCGCGTTTGTATAAAATTTTAATATCAATAAGCGGCCGGGAGAGAGGAGCGGAATAACCGGCAGTTTCTTTATCTCTCTCTACGGTGGGACGCGGATAAAGGACGAAGGTCCTCGCGAGAGTCGCGAAAGGACCCTCTCCGGGGGAAATTCCCCAGGATCTAGGGGAAATTGAAGGGCGGAATGCCCGCCCGCCCGACCTAGAACTTTTCATCCCCCCGATTATTCCGGGGCAAAAGCTCCGCGCGACCTCCTAATTTTTACTACTAATTCTATGCAATGGACCTATCCGCGCGGAATGGCCGCCTCGCGCGTTGGGACGCAAGGAGGTGCGGAAAAGGAGCCGCGGCCTTATCACCGGGTGCGCGGCCGTATCGGAGCGCATTCCCGCCGCGATGTCGGGATTTCTTGCCTTGTAAGGAGAGTCTGTTTCCCTCCCTTCGCTCCCTGGGGATGAGACTCCCCCCGGGGGGGAATTATCCCCCGCTGGCGTCCACCCCGAAGATTATCGCGGGTTATCAGCGCCCCCTTTGCTTCGAGTAATTCCAACAAAAAATCAAGCCCCCTCTTCCGGCCATTTCCTTTTCTCGTTTCCTCCCTCAAGAAACCCGAAATTCCGAAAAGATTTTCAAATTTTCTGGAAAGGAAAGAAAAGGAAGAAAAAAAAAGCAATCGAAACGCATCGTCCCCCCGTGGGGGAGGATCTATAAAATTACAAAAAAAAGGACTAAACAAATCCCCCTCGCCCTTCTCTCCGCTTTTTCTTTTTTCCCTCATTTCCTATTCATAAATCGAAACTTCCGAGATCTCGAGAGAGATCGAGGACGAGGATCTCGATCCCAGGGTAAAGTAAGAAAAATCGAAAACCAGCCAAGAGTGATGACGCCCCATTTCCGGTGTCCCTCTCCCGATTTCCCCTCCCGGCCCGATGGTAAACTTCCGACTTCCGGTGTCCCCCGATAACAATCCCGGAAAAGTTTACCGGGACGTTATCACCCCCCATCCCCCCCTACCACGGGACTAATCCCTATAAATTGTCGGATTTTACAAGTTCGCGCAAGGCGAATTGGAGGCAAGCCGATTGTTATTTACGGGATAGGCATTGCTCCCACGGGAGAAGGAATTCATCCCGATACTCCCATTCGGAAATAAGAGCAGAGAATTCAGAAACTCCCCCCCTGAGGGTGGGGGGGGGGCGAAATGAATCCCCATAATGAAGTACACTCACCGTTTGCGCCGGCAATTGCACTCTCGCGATTGCACTTGCAATTGCCCACCTCCACCTCCTCCCCCCCCTTTAGGCGGTTTACATCCCCCTATTGACTTAATTTCGCTTTAACGCGATTGTCTAATTTTGTCGACACTAACGTGGGAGGGGACGTAAGACATTCCCCCGGGAATTATCCGAGTCAAAGGGGGAATTGGCAGAACCGAAGGAACGGGAAAGGGGAATGAAGGAATGGAAGAGCGAAAAAGTGGAGGAGGGAACTTTCTTCCCTTTTTTTTGGCATCCCTCTTGCGGGCCCTCTCCCTTTTATTTCGAGACTCCTTCCCTCGGGGACCGGGTGTTCGAGGAGGAAGTCGGGGAAAGGACTCCTCCGAGTCCTGGGGGGCATTGTTGCCGCGGTCGATGTCGATCCGAGTGTTCTTTCGGGACGACAATGGACTCGGGGGACAATGCGATCCCGCGGAACCCGCGGGGGGTCCCTCGGGATTTTGCGGAAATTCCCACCCCCCTCGTACCCCTTTTCCCTTATTTCCTCACTCGCGGATCATCTGACCGAATGGCGCGATTCAGCGACTCTCGTTGTCCTTGATCCTCGCCTACCTGACCTAGGTTCATTTTCAGGCAATCGTCCGAAATTGTTGCAATAAAAAATAGTTTATTCGATGAAGGGGGAAAATCGTTACAGTCAAATGTGAGGAATTACCTTGGAGAGGACAAAAGATTTAGGAGCACTCTTATCGACTTCCTAGGGCCGACGAGTTGTAGGAAATGTTGCAACAAAGAAAATCCGAAATTGTCCACGTGGGGGGTGAGAAAATTGTTGCAAATGTTCATTGTTACGGGGGGGATAAAAAGTTTAGATGCGCTATTCGTGATTTCCTGGTGCTGTTCTTAAGGTCGAACTCCTGGAGCATATTGCAATAAAAATGCATAATTGTCCGGGTATGGGGGAACAATTGTTGCTATCAAGGGTGAATTATTATCCGGATTGGGATAATATATTAAGGAATTTTATCTTCCTGACCCCTTAGGGATTTCCCAGGGCCGGACCAGACGAGCGTAATTGTCGGAATTATTAATAATATATATGGAAGAATATATTAGGAATACTCACGTCGTACTTGCCCTGGATGTGTGGTCCTGCCTGGGCTATGTAGAGGGTGCTCGCCGTGTCGAAGACCAACTCCTGGGGGATCCTGGTGACACTTTGTCGGGCCATCTCGTGGCAGTTCAAGTAGAGCACCACCTCGCTCACCGAGACCCTCAGGACGATCTTCGACCACTTTTTCGTCAACCTGGGCACCGTGAACTTCGCCACCTCCTCCGAGTGAGTGTGCTCGTCCGAGTCCGTGTATACCAGAGAAACGTTTTGGTTGGAGGATGGTCCATCCTGAAAAAAAAAAAAACAGCCGATAAAATGTCCATCCTGATAAAACAGCTGATAAAATGTCCATCCTGAGAAAATAACCAATAAAATGTCCATCCTAATAAAATAACTGATGAAATGTCCATCCTGATAAAATAACCGATAAAATGTCCATCCTGATAAAATAACCGATAAAATGTCCATTCTGGTAAAATAACCGATAAAATGTCCATCCTGGTAAAATAACCGATAAAATGTCCATCCTGGTAAAATAACCGATAAAATGTCTATCCTGAGTAAATAACCAATAAAATGTCCATCCTGATAGAATAACCGATAAAATGTCCATCCTGAGAAAATAACCAATAAAATGTCCATCCTGGTAAAATAACCGATAAAATGTTCATCCTAAGAAAATAACCAATAAAATGTCTATCCTGGTAAAATAACTAATAAAATGTCCATCCTGGTAAAATAACCAATAAAAAATCCATCCTGATAAAATAGTCCGATGAAAGAAAATTCCCAAATATGAGGAAAAGTAGTCTCATCGCGACAAGAATAGGATGGGATAATATAAGATTTAATATCCTCAATATAGTTTTACGTATTCGAGGGGACGACATTTTCGGTATTGAAATTTTCACCGCAGTCGGAGGAAGTCAGCCATTTTCCGCGTCACATTTCTTCGGGGGGAAAAAGTGGGAAAAATGCCGAATCTCACCGAGATCCGAACTCCCAGCTGGACCACCGTCTCGAAAGGATTGAGCACCGCGAAGAGGTAGCTCGTCCTGAAGGAGGTGGGCTTGAAGGTGGCCACCAGGGTGAATTCCCCGGGCAGCTTCTCCGGTAGATAGAGACGATAGGGTTGCTTAACTTCCGAGCCTGGCCGGAAGCCGAAAGCCGGAAATCCGTCGAGGCCTTCGTCGACGTACTGGTGACGGTCGTCGGCCGACGACATGGCGGCTTGCAGGAGGTCGTATACCATTTCTGAAAAATACCATTTACGATTTAACCCCGTTGGGTGTTTCCAATTTTTTAAACTTTCATATTCCTTCAAATTCTATCAATTTCCTGAATTTTATTGGGATATTTCGAATTTTTCATACTTTTCGCTCAATTCATTTCCCCTGCAGGAGGTCCTATACCATTTCTGAAAAATACCATTTACGATTTAACCCCGTTGGGTGTTTCCAATTTTTTAAACTTTCATATTCCTTCAAATTCTATCAATTTCCTGAATTTTATTGGGATATTTCGAATTTTTCATACTTTTCGCTCAATTCATTTCGCCTGCAGGAGGTCGTATACCATTTCTGAAAAATACCATTTACGATTTAACCCCGTTGGGTGTGTTTCCAATTTTTTAAACTTTCATATTCCTTCAAATTCTATCAATTTCCCGAATTTTATTGGGATATTTCGAATTTTTCATACTTTTCGCTCAATTCGTCGAACCTTTCATCGTTTTTTTTTTTTTAGTTCGCCGAATTTTTAAAGTCGTTTCAATTCATCGAATTATTAAAGTCGTTTCGATTAATCGAATTATTAAAGTCGTTTCAATTCATCGAATTATTAAAGTCGTTTCGATTAATCGAATTTTTAAAGTCGTTTCAATTCATCGAATTATTAAAGTCGTCTTGATTAATCGAATTTGTAAAGTCGTTTCAATTCATCGAATTATTAAAATCGTTTCATTTCATCGAATTTTTAAAGTCGCCCCAATTCGTCGAATCTACACAATTGTTTAAATTAATTAATCGAATTTTTAAAGTCGCCCCAATTCGTCGAATTTGTGCACAGTTGTTTAAATTCTATTGTCTGAATTGACCGAATTTTTAAAAATTCTTTCAATTCGTCGTATTCTTCGTGTATTTCATCTCAGCCCTCCCTCCGCGTGCGTTTCCACTCAGACGGCCGCGATTTGCATACAACGTAGAAGAGAGAAGTATCCACGAGCGCCGTATTCCGCGCCTCGTTTTTCCGGCTTCCGGTAGTTCCGCTTTTCCGGGGGCGAAGTGGCGGTCGAGAGGCGAAAAGTTTCCCTCGGAGTTATCCGCTCCCCCCAGGGAAGAAGCGCTTGTCCGAAGGAACTCCGGGATTCTCTCTTCCTTAATTCGCCGCGCTTGCCTGACTCGTCTGCGGTTTCCCAGATTTCCCCCAAATTGTCCGAAATTTTTCCAAATTTTCCCGCCACCTCCAACTGCCGTTTCCGGCCTCCGAAAATGATTCAAACGAAGATTTCACTGTTTCTCCCCAGAGAGGTGGTAACGGCCAGGTACAGATTCCACCTTTACCAATTACGTACCTCGCATTTGCCTAGTGGGTTCGGAGCGCCGCCGCGAGATGGCGCCGGCTGTGCTCGTTCTGTAGAAGCCGCGTCTGTCGCGCGCGGTCGTTAGCTACTTTTACCGTCTTACCGCGTCCATTATTATCCACTGGAGCCTCAGCTATCACGTCAAAGTCCTAGCAATGCCCACTGATAGCGGAAGACTACCTCACAAGCCGCGGTATGTTGATACGACAATAATAAAATAATCAATTGGAACCGCAGCGAGAGCGACGCGCTAAGTGGAGCGCAAAGTCATACAGAGCGCGGCGCGTCGACGCGTGAGAGAAAGGCCGATCAAAAAATGACGCGCCGCGCTATGTGTGACGCCCATTCGGCACGCAGAAGCTTATCAATCAAGTCTTCCACCTTCCTAAAAGACTATTCCACTTCGCTGGGAGCTCCTTCGAGCTTCCAATCCACCTAGGGAAACTTTTTTCTTCCCCCGGTCGAGTTTCCCAGAACAGGGCGGAGGACTTCGAGATTTCCAGTTGTTTTCTCGTTTGCTTGTTTCCGCCTTTCCCGGGAAGTCGAATGGTGCCCATGCTTGGGTGGGGTCCCATTTTAAGGTTAACTCCGCCCTGTCGAGTTTAACCTGTCTCTGTTTTTATCTACCTGAGGAAATGTTAAAGTTGTCGCTCTTTTAGTCTCGACTAATCGGCTACAGGGGAAACGAAGGCCGCCATTGGTCGCCGGTCACGTGACGACGAGATTTCGAGATTTGGCGACGAAGAGATAAAAAATTATCCCATTTTAAGGTTAACTCCGCCGTATCGAGCTTAATCTGTCTCTGATTTATCAACCTGAGATTTTCTTGCATTTTGAAAAAATTGGCGCTCTTGTAGTCGCCACTAAAATCGGCTACAGGGGAAATGGAGGTCCCCATTGGTCGTCGATCACGTGACGACGAGATTGCGAGATTTGGCGACGAAGAGATTAAAAAATATCCCATTTTAAGGTTAACTCCGCCGTATCGAGCTTAACCTGTCTCTGATTTATCAACCTGAGATTTTCTTGCATTTTGCAAAAATTGGCGCTCTTGTAGTCGCGACTAAAATCGGCTACAGGGGAAATGGAGGTCGTCGATCACGTGACGAGGAGATCGCGAGATTTTGCGGCGAAGAGATTAAAATGTCCGGTGATAAGGGAACCGGGAATTTAGAGGAAGCTCGCCAGAGATTTCGCTCCGTTTCTTTAAGTACGAGCCACCCCCGAAATTCATAGACCCCTTCGGCGGGTTTTCATTTGTCACCCTTCGGGGAATGCATTACGCATGGACGCGCCTTTATGTGGAATCAAAAGTCCCCTAGGAGGGCGAGATGGCCGATGGGGATGAATGGGCGAGTCGCGCGCAATAAGTGCGTAAGATCTCCTCTTGAGGGAGCTCCAAGGGGAGAAAGAGGGGAGAAAGAGAGGAAAGGGTTGAAGGGGATCGGTCTCGGTTGATTTAGGCCGACTTCGAGTCCCTCCGCCATTAAATCACCCTCCTTGCACGGGGAGAACCATTAATGAGTACTCCTCGCAATTAATCTTGCAGATTGGAGTTAAAGAGACGCTCCATGTGGGATGAATCTTTTTCTTTTTTCGGGGATTCCAAGATGAAAGTACATCTCGGAAGGGGTGAGAAGGGGAGAAAATGGAGGAAGAGAGCGAGGAGAGCGTTAATACCGTGCATTGTACCGACGGTGTACATAGGGCCGCGCGAAATGTTAATCCAGGGGAAATAAGACTGCGATTCGCCCCTTCCGATATTTTCGGAGGAATTAATTCCCCTCGATTAAAAGAATTGGGAGGGGTGGACAAAGAGGCACATTAACGCCGCTCACAAAGGGCGCGCGAAATATTAATTGAAAGCGTCGGTCGGCTCCAGGGGAATGGGATCCAAGGGAATGGGCTCTAGGGGAAACGGCGCGCCCCTATTGGCCGCTCCCGATATCTCCGGGGGAATGAATTTCCCCTGGCGAAAAAGCGTGGGAGAAAAATGGAAAAAAAAAATGGAAAAAAGAAGAAAGAAAAAGTGGGCGGCGAAGGTTAAAAGAAAAGTGGTCGAACGTCGATTCGAGGGCGGAAAATTGGACGTCGGCGGGTTAATATCGCGAGTCGCTTAGCCCTGGGCCCTCGGCCCGACACAAAGGGGTCCATTATCGAGGCATCGAGGGAAAACCCGAAAATTAAACGGCGATTGGCGGACCCACCCTTCGACTTTCGCCCGGCTCGATTATTAATCGAGCCCGACGCCGGTGACACGGTGCCCCTTTGTTTCCGATCGATCGATCGAACCCCCTCCCTCGGATTTCCGAAATTAAATCGCTATCCGGCCGGTCGACACTTCGATTAACGCCGTCGTCCCTCGTTACCTGGAAAATCCCGAGGACCCGGCCCGAAAATTACATAAATCCTAGGGTACATGGGGAATTACTCTAGACAACGCGCTGAAGAGCCCCGCGATAATTGCTGTACAGGGGAGGTGACAAATTTCAACTACCCCTGTCCACCTGTTCACCCTCTGACACCCCTTGCGCACCTTGGAAAAATCGATACGACGTTTATCGACGGGTTTAGAAAATCTAGACACGCCTAGGACCCCTGGGAAAATTCAGAACAATTGATTGAAAAAGAAAAGGAAATGTAAGCACGCGTTCTGGCACCATTTGGACCCGTAGAAAAATCCAAACAATTACAGAAAAAAAAAAAAAGAAAGGTAAACGTACACCCTCTGGCACGATTTGGACCCCTGGAAAAATCTATACAATTTGAAAAAGAATAAATAAATAAATAAAATTCACATTGTGGGATCCCTCCCCAGGCAAGAAGTCCGTCGAGACGAGTCGAAGTGCCTTCTGACGATTCGATCCCGGAGCCGGCCTCTTCCCCGTCGCTCCCGGGCGTCCTCCTGGACCCCCCTGGCCGGCTCCCGGTCACGGGAGACGCACAAAAGACAGGTAAGAGCCTTATTGTTTATTACGCTTGCCGTCTTGTCGCCTGAGGCCAGGTCTGAGTGCCGGTCTCTCGACTTGTATTCCACGGAGCATTGTCGCATCGTCAGGTCCGTGCCAAAGGGTCCCCAGGGCCCTGACCTTCCTCTCCCCAGGGAAAGAAATCCCGACTTCCTGGGATTTGAGTTAGTCGAGGGAGGAATATTAATTTGCATATTACCTGTTTTTTAATTTCATTTTTCTTTTCTTTTTTAAAGAAACTTGGTACGGGGTACTCGGCACCCATTCCCTCGGCTCCCCAACAGCTGATCAGCCCAATTCCGATTTGTTTCCTGATTTGTATATTTCTCTCCCCCTTTTTTCTTTTTTTTTTCAGGAAGAACCTCGGTCGATTTCTCGACAGCTAATCCCGGAGTGGCGAGAATCGTCTCTATAAACGGGAGCCCTAAAGCTCGGCGCTGGAAATATCGATCTTAAAAGCTCTAAAGCCCCTGGAAAAGCTCCCGACTGATCGACGGAAGCCACGACGGTGCAAGCTCATCCTGTCGTCGGTAGTTTAAGAGCTCGCGAGCGAGGGCCGCCGACATTGCCGAGGATCTCTGTCGTCCCCTTCCTTAAAAAGGAGACATTACCTGTTTACAATAATCGGGATCACGACGATTAACGACGTAAGGTCCGCGTAAACTTCTGCCTTCCCTCGATTTTCTCAATTCTCGACATTTTCT